CTCCTCAGTTCCTTCCAAAAATAAACTACTATACCCCTTAAAACAAACCTTGACCACGCAAGATATTAAAGCCCTTAGCTCAAGCACTCTTTGTACATGACAGGAGGAGATGTTATCATGAGCAGGCCAGCCAACAGAAACAACTGCTAAAGCAAAATGCTTTTGTGACCAGTGCATTGTTTCTGAACACCCAGCAAGAACCAGTGGGTGTCCCTCACTGGAACGGAACGACCCTGTGTAACAGCAAGAAGCTTTGCAAATATTGTTAACTACCATTCAAAACAGCAAGACACTGAAAAAACACAATGTGAGGGCTCACATATGCTTTGTCACTCCTCTGCCTACACACAGCCGCCATCCCAAACAATAAAAGGGAAGGAGGCTGCTGTGCAGTGAGTGGAAGGGGACACGGTAAGGCAGGACCTCCTGGAGCCAGGCTCAGAGAGAACTGCGAGCTGCTACACAGCACGCGGCAGGAGCCTGCAGTCTGACTGAAGTTCTGGCTACGCTACTGTACCAGGGAGCAAGGGCACCCAAGGACATTTACCATGCCTTGCACAGATGATCTGCGGTTGGAATTACGCTGCCTCCTTACGCAGCTGAGCACAGACTGCCCCATGCAGGTGGGTTAATGCCCTGTGGAAAGCCATCCAGGCCTTTTGGAGATGAGTAACTGTTTCCTCGCCAGAGGAGGAAGGGGTACCGGAGACTCACGAGAGTCAAACTTGGTGACTGGTCTTTGGAACACCATCCACACAAGAGCCCTTATTCAAGGCATATGAGAAAGTCAGACAGAGGACAAGCAGGAATTACGTTGTTATAGGTCATACAGCCAGAACAAGAAGAGGTATAAAACAAGAAAAGTAGCTAGTAGGAGAATGTAAGAAGATACGAGACGGAGCGGTCCCACCCGAGGATGTGCTGCCAGTATTTTAAAATAACAGCTCCCAGCAGCATCTCCCCATCATGTGACGGATCCCACACAGCAGGAGTGGCCGTGCTGCAGGGAGAAGTGCTGGGTGGGTCAAGGAATCTGTTTGCTCTTCTCTTGTTTCTCCCCATTTAAGCAGCGTTTTCATAAACACAACCAAGGAGGGAGGTGGCTCCACTTGGCAGACAGGTTCCTCCTGAGTAAATAGGCTGCAAGTGTTTATTCTCTGCTCTTGAAAGCTGGAGTGAGCACACTCAATAGCTGTGCACAGTGCTCAGCAGGCATAACCAAAAGCAGCGCTGAAGGCTTTGTGAAGGAAATGAGATTGATCTTTCCCTCAATATTCCTCCTTTTCCTTCCCCAAATACCTGCTCTTCAAGGATAAGAAGATGCATTTTAAAAGCAACATAGTTTTACTCCCCAAAATTGCTTGCATGAACCTCAAAAAGAGATGACTGAGTAATAACCACAAAACTCAATGTGACCTCTTCTGCCAGTACTGGTTCCCAAAATTTCAGTGACTATCCTCCCAATGCATGCACAGTTTGCCAAACCTCACAGACTGACACATTTGCAGCGTGGGATAAGAAGGCCTGAGACTGCTTTCCCACAAGCCCTCCTCCTGTTAGACTCTCATTTGTTTCCTGAGCACTTTTTGGGTCCTCAAAACAGAAAAGATGTAAAAAAAACACTGCAGTGAAGCACAGCTCACCCCCGTGCTCACTCGGAGATGCAGTGTGGGAGGAACTTGCTCTTAAATCACCCATTTCAGTCCTTTTCCCCCACACACATACAGATGATGCTTAATTATAACTGACATATTTCTGCTGCAAGGATTGCTTCATGTATTTCAGCCACCAAATGCTAAAAAATCCAAATCTTTAGTCCCAAACCAGGTTCCCAAAAATCTAAGCTTGCCAGCTCATTTTATGCTGGGTAAGAGGGAGACAAATGAATCTACCTTACATACTCCTGTCTTTTCACACTTAATAGGCAGGTGTTGGATCATCCTCCAGGGAAGGGTCCTATCAAGGCTGAGACACTGAGGTATTGCAAAGCAGCTTACATGGAGGCTGCTAATGATTTATGCGCTATATGATTAGCCAGAATCAGTCCCTAGGGCTCAGCTTGCAGATACTAGTTTGCCATAGACAGAAATAGTAAGTGATCTAAGCAAGTATTTTGCTATTTAATATATAGTCTAATTAAGAGATTATTAAATATTCAAGAAGTAACATAAGGTCCGTGCCCTGTAAGAGATTTCTCGTAACACGAGAAAATCACTTTTGTATAGGTTTGGAGTGATCAATGAGAGGAAACCAGCATTAGAAAAATAAATAAATAAGAACCAGAAACATGCAGGAATGTTGGCAAAGAAAGAAAGAGGCCCACCAGCAAATAAGAGCAACACTGTGATCTGGGCTGGAAATAGTTCCCCAAGTAAATTTATCATCTTTGGTACATTTAGTAAATCCGTGTGCGTGGTGTTTGGGAAATGGCACACAGCGCTGAAGATGCTCAAAGTACCGGTAAGGGAAGGTCTGGGTCACCATTAGTCATTTAAAAGGGTCAGGTTCTTCACCCCAGGGTGAAACAAAGGTAATCTTGTTTCAGAGAAAGCAAGACAAAAAAGGATTTGTGCTCTCTGCAGGACTGCTGTTCAAGGCAAGGAAAACATAGTGACAGCAGACAAAATCCTTACTCCCAGTAGCTTAAACGTAATCTGCACTAATAGGCTGAACTTGTCCAAAGGGTCTGAGTGAGGATCAGAGCCAGAATCCACAGCATGAGAGAGCTAAAAGTCAGCTTCAGCATCTTTGCCACGGCATCCAACCTGATCCCACCAGATCTGGGGAAAGGACCCCCTCCATCACATACTGCACCCTCTCCATAATGTGTCCAAGCACAACCGCGGAGCAACCTGAGCTGCCTCGCACAGCCAGCTTCCCCGGTGCCCCATCTCACATCAGTCACAGCATTCCTCGTTTGATGGTTCTGAGCCCTCTGCTCTGTGTTTTGGATACAAACCATTATTGGTAGCTGGAGGCCAAGACTCCCAGAGCGCGTGTAAGTCGCACAAAAACACAGGCAGGCTCCAAAAGGTGCATTAAGCTCCTACTCTTCCAACTGCAGAACATCTGCCTCTGGAGGCAGCAGGCTAGTAGCTGGGGATAAACCACAAAGCTGAACGAGAATATTAATGTGTGGTTTCCCATGGCTAGCATCAACTTAGGCAAAGAAAAATTGCCAGAGCCAAGCCACGACTGTGATGATTCAGCCTGTCAGGGACCACCTGCTGGCACCCCCTAACCTGGTAGCAATGATGCTTTCCACAGGGCCTGTGCTCTGCCACTGTGATTCAAGAACTGCTCAGGAGGAGGAGGAGGAGGCCAGTCACTATTTGAGGACTAGAGGGAAAGCATGATATAAAGATGTCAAGTTACATAAAGCTCACTCCATTCTAGGCACACTTTGCAGCCATTCATTTATTCACAGCATTAAGAGCTTACATATCATTTCTAGTTTAATTTGCTGACTTCTGCCTACCACCACTATCTGTCTGTGCTTTAGTCTGAGCTATCTAGGTTTCATTGCCATGGTGAGATATTTCACTCTGCCAAATTCAGCTAAAACCATGAACTATAAGCACATATATATTTTTTTAAATTGCACCAGATTTGTACTAGCTGTAGAAATTCTCAGTTTTACTGAGAAAACTATATTCAGTTCATTGAATTTCTGAATGGCAGTTACTAGGATCCCCAGCAGATAGCTGAAGAACAACCTTTTTTATTATTATTATTTTTAAAATAAAGAGGTAAATTCAGCTGCATGAGCTAGACAGAAACTAAAATCTGGCTTATTTCAGAGGCTCCACCTTGAAAATTCCCCTGCAGGATATGGCCTGGCTACAAACAGGACCAATTCAGAGCCCGATAACAACATTGGATTAGAAAACATTACTGACTGTATATCTCATGCACAGAGTAGTGTTAAAGTTGTGTAGGTTTTAAACCCAGCTACCTCATCTAGTCATCATCTGCCTTTCAAAATTCCTCAAGCTTTTCAATCCTCAATTGTTTCTTCATCATACCAAGAAGAGTTTTTCTATTACTTTATACTTTTCTGTTTGTTTGTTTTTTTTTTGTAAAATTTAGCTCTGGTCAGCTTAGAAGCTTTTTCTGAAGCGCAGTTTAACAAAATTTCACAAGCTGCCAGGTCTTATGAACTCACCAAGGTCAAAATGTTTAATATAATTTTCTTCTTGAGAGACAATCCTGTGGTACATGGTGATTATCATGGCTTAGCAGAAAAAAGCAACCTGATAATCTAAGGTGCTTTATAGTTAGGATTTTATTCAAGTCACTTTTTTAACATTTAAAATGCTTAGAAACACATTTAGCAGGGAAAAGAATTGCCACTTGCAAAATTACAGATGACAAGAAAAAAAATTTAATCCACTACATTGTGCAATTACTACAAGACAGCAGTTAAAGATTCATGTCAATAGCAGTGATTGAACATCTTTTGCAAATAAAAGATAACATCAAAAATAGCCAATATTTTACCCTTATTACAGATAATGATACAGTGACTGCTACTGCTGAGCCGATCTGAGCAGCATATTGTAGATAATGAGGCCAATCTCCATGTTACCAGAACCTCAGTGTTACCTCACGTTAGAAGTATAGGAATGAGTAAGCATATTAATGTAGTCATGTATTTTTAAAACACACACTTTAAGCTTTCCCTGAGTCTAGCACTCCTTAAGGCAGTAATCCCTGCAGGGACTACTCTGACAGTTACTCCGTGCATGGATGTTACTAGGCAACATTCACATCATCTTAAGCAGTTGGCCATGCTTGTGTAAGACCAAGCAAGGAAGGGTGACGCTGCAAAACTGCAGGCAGAGCTGGATCCGGACACTTTGAATACAATGGAGCAGCCCAGCAATGTGACCGTAAAGAGCTGTGTGGCTGCCACTTCGTGTATATTAGGTTGTACCACAGGAAGCATACAATTCTTTTAGTCTCTAACACACATTTATTCTGGCAAAGTTTATACCTACTTGCACAAAAATGGTGACTGATCTTCACTGGCCTTGTCTGTTGTGAAATTTTCTTCTCTGCGCTGAGTACATGTCCCTTTTTTTAGGCTTCTTTTTCATAGCTGCAAAGAAGAGCAAGCAAATGAGATTCTGGAAAACTCAATGAAGGAGGTAAATATTTTTCTCTGAGCTTTTCCATCATTCTTGGGCACAGATATTTTATGACCAAATAAAGTAAGAGGTCTGTTCTCGTTAAGATGAAGTTTTGGAGAATTTAAAAGCAATTTTTACAGTCAGGAAGCAACCTGATGGCAAAGTAGCAGTAAGCTTGTAATGCTACTGTTAGATGCACTTTATGTGAAAAGCATGGACAGCACAAAAAGGTTTTATAGCAAGTTGTAAGTGCAGGGGATCCAGTGACCTCAGCAGACCCACATCCCCTTATATTTGCAACACTTGTCCCAACCAGACTTTCCAGGCCTGTATCTAGCTATGCATTTGCAGCATTTTCTAAATGAAGTCCAGCATTAGGCTGTACTTTCATTATTCTATAAAGGAACCTGTTTAATTCAGTGAATCTATTTCTGTAAAGCAATCAACTGCATTGGGAAGATGTAGAGTATAGATCTATTTGCAAAAGTTGTTGTGGTTCAGATTTTTGAGTACGCTCCGCTGTGAAGTCATGGTTCTAATTAATTTTGCAAAACATGCTTGAAAACTGATGTAAGCAATTGCTTATAACAGAAGTCTCCAACAAACATTTATGAAATTGTTAAATAAAAAAGGAACACTGTGTTTAGAAGTGTGCTCTTTATTCATTACATGAGCTCCTAGTAGCATGAATAAATTGGCAGTTTTAAGGCAGCCAATTTGAGGCTGTTTTACGTCAGTCACCCACCATCTTTTTTTCATTCTCCTAACCTACATGGTACCCATTTGTGGCTCACTGCATGACTCAAACCACAGCAAGTACACAAAATCATGCACAAGTGCTCATGCAAGCACATTCTGCAATTATTTCATTCTTCTTTTCCCAGGAACGTTCTTGTGAGCAAAAGGCTGCATGGATAAATACCAATAAACAATAAGTACAGTAAGATTCAAGGCTTTTCAGTTCATTTTTTTTTTGTTTGTTGGTCTGTTTGTGCTATCCTTTACTCTTGCAGAAAAGTTGTGGCATTTTCCTATTTCTGCCATGCACGTTTTTATATCCTGTGCTAACAGAAGTGGCATCAGTTGCACAAAGCCAGGCACTAGTGCAAGCTGGAAGGCAGCTGGGCTGTGTCAGAGCCTAAGTTGGCAATCTTTGCAGCTCTTCTGATCCAGTTTTGGGATGACTAACACCAACCAACGATCCTGCCCTTTACACACTGTCAAAAGGGGAGGACTGTGGAAAGTGATTCCCACGGGATCAGGTTTTGTGTACATCTCCTGCCTTTTTTTTATCTGCAGTTTTCCATTAGTCTAGTTCATAATTTTACGAAATGTCACTCCAATTATCTTTGGTTTTGCAATTATGTAATTCCACTCCCCTTCACACCCCAACTCCACTACTGCTAAGGATTCAAATATAAAGTCTAGAAACAGTTGTAGGGTTCTGGGCTCTACAGAACTGTATTCCCTTCTGTGGCACAGTAACCAGCTGAGCTGTCAATTAAACAGATGGGGGGGGGGGGACGGACACAAAAAGAGAAAGAAACCCAACTGCAGACAAGTAAAAGGTTCTGAATCTTCTCCTGTTGGCACAGCAGAACTACAGCACAACACAAACTTGTCCAGGCTTGCTAGCTCCAGTAGGACTGGATGCATAATACCCACTGTTACTGCTGTGCAGATTATCAAATCCATGTAAATAGTAGGATGCAATGTACTAAGAGAATATCTGTCACAACTCTTCCATACAGTAAAAAGTCAATGTCCCATTCCTGCAAACTGTAGGTCTTCTGCAGGGCTCCATAAAGAAAAAAAGACTCAATTGCATCGATTGTTTGTATACTGGAGCCTGATTTTTTTTTTCTGGGCTCATGTCCTAGGTGGAACTATGGCCTCATAACAGACTGATATCTCCTACCGTAACTGTTAACTATGGCTTCAATGTTTTTTTTTTGTTTTGTTTTGTTTTTATAAACAAAGTCATTATTAAATTATTACTTGCTATAGTTTCATTCACTTAATTTTCACTTTGTTTCCACAGCTCCCAGATCGGTGAAATGCCAAGCACCTCCAAGTCCGAGCCAATTCCTGTGTTGTAAGAGAAGTGTCATTCAGGACACAGAAGTCTCTTCAGAGCCTAACAGCATTTCAGGTTTATCATAGAGACAGTCCTAAACTTATCGATGACTGCTCATGGAGTGCCTAAAAGAGGGCATCTTCTTAGGCTGGGACTTCCAAACTACATCAGTGACTATTATTTCTGAGCCAATCTGAGCACACACACAACCCTAGTAAAGCTACCAAGTACACTAAAATTTCACCTCCAGAACAGGAGTTTTTAGGATTTCAGCCCCTTTAAACAAAGGAATCATGTTCCAAACCTTCCAACCTAGCCATCCAACATTTTTAATCCATCATTTTTGAAGAAACAAAGCAGGTAAGACTCACGAAGTCAAGATGGGAGTCCTACATGGTATTCACAAAGGCTACAAAACTAAATTCTAGATTGAAAAGAATTGGCAACCACTTCATGCCAAATTCATCACTAGCACAAGCAGATGTAATTTCCAAATTTATGCCAGCTTGCAGCCACTTATTCTGAGAATGTGACCTTTCTCGTTCCTGCTTCCCCCTGCCCCCCAGCCCCCTCTTGGTTTTGGCACACAGCCCAAGACTGCGTGCACCAGTTATGCAGTTATAATACTCCAGTCTTAGTTTCCTGTAAGTGGTAAGGACACCCAAAACGCACATCACAGGGCCGTTATAAATAGTTAAATCTAGACAGCACTCCTAGAAAAAGCACACATTGAAAATAACAGCAAAGAGCTAGATCTCACAAGACACAAAATGCTGAAAACTGAGGAATCAGACTTAGTTTGATGGAGAAGTCAGCACAGAAGGCAGTACAGTTTCAAATATGCTTTCGCATCTGTTAACAGGAGTTCAAAAATATATTACATTTCGGTCAAGCACAAGGTATTGGGCACACACGGATATATGTCAAACAGCAGGCTAAAGGTTAAAGAGGGATTCAGTTAACTATTACTGCACAGAGACTTCATTAACCCAAGGATGCCTCATCCAGATGTTTAGGTATCCAAAGGCTTAAAGTGTAAGCAAGCCAATAGGTCAGCAACACAGGCTTTTCTATTAATCTAATAGGGGATTTTAAAAGCTATGTGGATTAGCCAGGCCTGGCTGTCTGCTAACCATTTAAAGATTTTGCTGTCTCTTTTCATGCCAAGTCTCAGGTTTCTCCAGGACAAAACTGCTTAAAATAGCAATTTTAAACAAAGTTTTGAATAAAACATCCTTATGGATAATTTTTTGTTGTGGCTTGGAGGTCCATTTACAGTCTGCATCAAAACTCCTGTCTTATATCCCTTCACTTTCAGTTGAAGGCGGCTTTGACAGTCTCTTGCATTAAGTCACTTGTTTTTAGTTTTATACTCTAGCGGTTCAGTAAGATCTCTATGTCAAAGGACATTAGCACAAGACGTATCAGGTTAACAGCTCTGAAGACAAAAGACCTGGCTACAGAGAGCACCCGCCACAGGGGAGCAGAGGACCAGGCTTTCATCCTCCTCACCAGGATCCAGCTGGCAGATGTAAATGTGGGCTTCAGCAACATGTTTCTCTGCATGCTATATTGGTAGCCACTCTCAAAAGCTGTAGATATCTAACTTGCACATGCACAGAGCTGAACAAGCACTGAAGAAACAGCAATGAGAGGACAACAAGATTTAAAACACCATCCTAGAAACTTAAGGTCTTCTTGCTGTCATCTACCCTTTGAATCATGCACAGAGGGTCGCTCTAGATCCAGTTTAGGAGCTGAGATGTGGTAGCTGGTGAACTCAGTTATATAGATTAGTTTTAAAGAATGAACAGTATATGAATGAGCATAACCTGCTAGGTACATGTGAATTCTTGAAGTTGGGCAGTGGCCACCAAAGCCATTTAGCAAAAGCTAAATACCGAATTGCAACCTATGGTTCCCTACATCATACCTGCAACACCAGGCCTTTGGTATGGAGGGAGCCTCAGCAGCTCGAACAACTGCAGAATAAACCATAAACAACCCATTTGCAGTGCTAATAGAAGGTTGGAGGGCAAAAAGAAATCACATCATGTATTCATTATGAACAGCTACTACACGTAGATAAAGGCTCAAGGCTAACGAACCATCCTGGGCTGTGTTCTTGGGCAGGCTTCAGTTCTAAACTCAGCTGAAGTTACTATGGTGACAGGAGTGTTAATCCACATGGGTTATATCCTGATTCCTGCTACTGATCACATTTGAAAAACCTAATAGGCTATCAATTTACATGCAGTTGTCTCCTTCTTTGGGATATGAAGTGCGCTTTGCTGGGTTGCAGGGATTATATGGCTCTTTTCTTTTCATGTGGTGTTTAATTACAAAGATTTTAAACAGAACTTGAGCAAAGCATTAAACTACAATTAAAAAGTAAATGGGGTCAGTAGTTTGTTGTTACTTTTCCCCGTTTTCTTCTTGAAGAGGCATCAGTGGGCAGGGCTTGTCTACACCTCCCAGGGACCTGCTGGCAGTCCGGAGTCATGGGAGCTCGTGGCAGAGACAAGGATTCACCGTGCTCCCTGAGGCCTGGCTCCAGACCAACATCAGTCACCAGCAGTTGCTCTAAAACGAGCGTGTTTCTTTAAAAATAAGAAGGTAGCGCTCGTCTTTTAGGGGATATTTTACAGCAAGAGTACTCCCTTTAAGGAATTATGGTTGTTTCTCCCCATTCAAGTGTTTTCACTGATTTCAAACTATGAGTTATTTTCAACTATTAGAGCTTACCAGTTGAATTCCAAAATAATGTAATCAGTTTCATAAAGCTGCTTAAATTAAAAGTGAAGTTAATTTGAAGCTTAGTCTTGGGGGAAAAAAAGCAAACCCAACAACAATATTTAGCAGCTTTGAATATTTAGCAGTCTTAAAATTAGA